CCGACCTCAAGTGATCCTCCGGCCTCGACCTCTGCAGTAACTGGGATCGCAGGCACCACCACGCCCGCCTAAAGTTTTTTTATTTTTAGTCAAGACAGTGTTTCGCCATGTTGTCCAGGCTGGTCTGGAACTCCTGGCCTCAAGTGATCCTCCCACCTTGGCGTCTCAGAGTGCTGGGATTACAGGCATAAGCCACTGCACCTGACCAGCATAGCTTTTTTCCCCAGCTTTTTTGTTTGTTTTTGAGATGGAGTCTCCCTCTGTCACCCCAGGAGTGGAGTGCAGTGGCACAATCTTGGCTCACTGCAACCATCATCAAGCGATTCTCCTGCCTCAGCCTCCTGAGTAGCTGGGACTACAGGTGCCTGCCACCATGCCTGACTAATTTTTGTATTTTTAGTAGAGATGGGGTTTCGCCATATTGGCCAGGCTGCTCTGAAACTCCTGACCTCGTGATCTGCCGGTCTCAGCCTCCCAAAGTGCTGGGATGACAGGTGTGAGCCACCGCACCCGGCAGATATCTGTGATTATGAAGAATCGCTGACACTTTCTTTTTAGTACTTCACAGTACCCGGTCTAAAGGGCAGCGTTTAAATAAATACTCATTAAATTGAATGGAGTTCCAACTTGGCAAGATTTTGCTGGAAGCCACAGCGCCTTTGCCTCAGGGAAGAGCTTTCCACTGGAGCGAAAGCGACCTCTGGTGGCAAGGGGATCAAAGACTCCGTTCAGAAAGCGGGTGTTCAGGCTGGCAAGGCAGCTGGTGGCAACACAGAAGCTGCCGATGACTGGCACATGAGGGCAGCACTTTTTTTTTTTTGAGCCTGGGTCTTGCTCTGTCACCCAGACTGGAGTGCAGTGGTGCAATCTTGGCTTGCTGCAACCTCGACCTCCCTGGTTCAGGTGATCCTCCCACCTCAGCCACCATGCCTGGCTAGTTTATTTGTGTTTTTAATGGAGATGGGGTTTCACCATGTTGGCCAGGCTGGTCTCGAACTCCTGACCTCAAGTGATGCCACAGCGTCCAGCCTATGTCTGAGTCCTTCTTGGTGTTTGGGGAGACCTATTCCTGTCCACACATGCCACAGAGAGAAGCAATACAGTGTAGAGGCAGGGAACACAGGGTGCCCAACTGCCTGGGGCTGTTAGATAATAATGATGATGGCAGCAGCCGGGCGCAGCGGCTCACACCTGTAATCACAGCACTTTGGGAGGCTGAGCCCAGGAGTTCAAGACCAGCCTGGACAACATAGTGAGACCCTGTCTCTACAAAAAATAAAATTAAAAAGTTATCTGGGACTGTGTGTAGTGGCTCACGCCTGTAATCCCAGCACTTTGGGAGGCCAAGGCAGGTGGATTGCCTGAGGTCAGAAGCTCAAGGCCAGCCTGGGCAACGTGGCAAAACCCCATCTCTACTAAAAATACAAAAATTAGTCAGGCATGGTGGCTCCCAGCTACTTGGGAGCCTGAGACAGGAGAATCGCTTGAACCTGGGAGGTGGAGTTTGCAGCGAGCTGAGATCACACCATTGCACTCCAGCCTGGGTGACAGAGCAAGACTCCATCTCAAAAAAAATTAGCTGGGTGTGGTGGTGTGTACCTGTAGTCCCAGCTGCTTGGGAGGCTGAGATAGGATTATTTGAGCCCAGGAATTCAAGACTGCAGTGAGCTGTGATTGTACCACTGCACTCCAGCCTAAGCAACAGACTCTCCTTCTAAAATAATAATAATAATAATAAGCCCAAGTTGCCCAGCCTCTCTGTGTCTCAGTTTTCCTAAGTGCCTACTACTATTATTTCAATAACCCTTACTTGAGGAACCACCTAAAAAGAAAGAAAACCAATAAAATGATTTCAAGTACAGATGGTGTCTCTTTGACAAATTTCCTTTTGATAGAATATTTTTTACCCTCGAGGGATTTACAACATTCATATTCTTTGCCCACACACGAACAGATAAATAATTCCACTGTTTGAGGTTTATAAGAAATCTATAGTAACAGTGATTGGAGGCAGATCTTGTTAATTTCTCATCCCTAAAGAATAGTGGGCCAGGCATGGTGGCCCAGCACTTCGTAATCCCAGCACTTTAGAAGGCTGAGACAGGTGAATTGCTTGAACCTAGGAGTTCAAGACCAGCCCAGGCAACATAGTGAGACACTATCTCTACCAAAAAATGCAAAAATTAGCAGGGCTTAGCAGTGCACACCTGTGGTCCCAGCAACTCAGGAGGCTGAGGTGCAAGGATGGCTTGAGCCCAGGAGATGGAGGCTGTAATAAGCTGAGATTGTGCCACTGCACTGTAGCCTCAGCAACGAAGCAAGACCCTGTCTTAAAAGAAAACATAGAGAAGGAAAGACAAGGCCGGGCGCGGTGACTCACATCTGTGATCCTAGCACTTTGGGAGGCCGAGGTGGGTGGATTACCTGAGGTCAGGCGTTCAAGACCAGCCTGGCCATCATGGTGAAACCCCATCTTTGAAAAAAAAAAAAGAGAGAGAGAAGGGAAGACGAACTTAGCACAGGCAAGGAGCAGGGCCAGGCAAAGTGAAACGGGGCTGGACAGGTCTCGTGCTGTGCATCTACATCATCTTCGTCCTCACAATAGCTGAGCAGAGTGAAGTGTCTGTTAAGTGGGGCATTTCCTGGAATAAGCCTCCTCTGTGGTGAGGGGGCTTTCTGAAGAACTCTTTTCCCCAGAGCCGTCTCAGCATGGGTGGGCAGTTTTTGAACTGTGTACTCCAGAGTTAGGGCTAACTTGCTCTGCTTTTTGAAGCATTTTGTGCAAAAAGAGGCCGTTTAGCTTTCCAAGGAAATCTGTTACAGGTAGCTCTTTAGCCACTAGCCTAGGGCCTGGAATTACTCATATTTTCAGGGCATAAGGAGGTCAAAAGATATACCTGGGCCAAGCTGGGCATGGTGGCTCACACCTGTAATCCCAGCAATTTGGGAGGCCAAGGTGGGAGGGTTGTTTGAGCCTGGGAGTTCAAAACATGGCAAAACCCCATCAGTACAAAAAAGTTTTAAAAAAGAAATAGAAATGAGTGGGGTGTTGAGAGGGTTGCATTTCTCACTCCTGTCTTCGGGGTCCTGGAGTTGGACAGTATGTGAGTTGGACAGATGGTTATTGGTCTTTTTTCAGTTTAAAAACTTGTTTTTGAATATTTGAACAGAAACTAATGGAAGGAAGTGTGCTCTCTGCCAAGAGCCTTCAGGATACTGAAGGAGGATGACAAGAGACTTTTCAGAAAGCCATTTTCAGGAACCTGCTGGAGTGTATATAACAAGCAAGCCCTGTTTTCAAGAAACCTGATACCCTGATGGGTTTGGGGAGGGGAAGACACACACACGCAAAGCTGAAGAACACTGGAGAATCCAGGGATTGTTTTTTGTTTTTTTGGGTGTGTGTTTTTGTTTTTTGTTTTCTCTTGAGATGGAGCCTCGCTCTGTTACCCAGGCTGGAGTAAAATGGTGCGATCTCGGTTCACTGCAATCTCTGCTCCCGGGTTGAAGTGATTCTCCCACCTCAGCCTCCCAAGTAGCTGGGATTACAGGCACCCACTACCAGGCCCGGCAATTTTTGTATTTTTAGTAGAGATGAGGTTTTGCTATGTTGGCCAGGCTGGTCTCGAACTCCTGACCTTGGGATCCACTTGCCTTGGCCTCCCAAAGTGCTGGGATTACAGGTGTGAGCCACTGTGCCTGGCCTCCAAGCACTCTTACAGACAGGGGAGAAGAAAACCTGGTCAGGGTCAAGAGTGATGATGTTTTGATGTCTTCTTTTCTTTCTTTCTTTTTTAAATTTTATTTATTTATTTATTTATTTTGAGATGGAGTTTCACTGTTGTTACCCAGACTGGAGTGCAATGGCACGATCTCGGCTCACTGCAACCTCTGCCTTCTGGGTTCAAGCACTTCTCCTGCCTCAGCCTCCCGAGTAGCTGGGACTACAGGTGCGCACCACCACACCCGGCTAATTTTTGTATTTTTAGTAGAAACGGGGTTTCACCTTGTTGACCAGGATGGTCTCGATCTCTTGACCTCGTGATCCACCTGCCTCGGCCTCCCAAAGTGCTGGGATTATAGGCGTGAGCCACCACGCCTGGCCTTTCTTTCTTTTTTTTAAAGGAAGAGTCTCACTATGTTGTCCAGGCTGGTCTGAAACTCCTGGCCTCAAGTGATCCTCCTGCCCTAGACTCCCAAAATGCTGTGATTACAGGCGTAGGCCACTGCACCAGACCCGTAAGTGCTGATGTCGTCTGGATTCATGGGAAGTCCTAGGTGGAGGAGCTGGAGTTTGAGCTGGGTTTGAAGAATGGGGAGTGGGAGTAGGTGGGTGGGAAGCATTTGGTGCTGAAAGGAAGTGGCATGAACAGAATTGGGAACCCACAAGGACAGTGACTTATGGGCAGCCCCATCTGGGTAAGTGGAAAATGTATGGGGGGAACAGTTTTCCTTTTTGAGGATGATTCCCAGGGGCTGAATCAAGCTCCCCCAACTTATCCTTGGGGCTTGTGGCAGAGCTGAGATGTCCATTTCATGGACTCATCCATGTGGGCCAACCTGGGTATAGGAAGGTCCCTTCCACCCATGAGGTCTATGGACCAACAGGATTTTTGATTTCTGGTTTTGTTGTTGTTGTTGTTTTGAGATGGAGTCTTGCTCTGTCACCCAGCCAGGAGTGCAGTGGTGCGATCTTGGCTCACTGCAACCTCTGCCTCCTGGGCTCAAGTGATTGTCCTGCCTCAGCCTCCCGAGTAGCTGGAACTACAGGTGCGTGCCACCACACCTGGCTCATTTTTGTATTTTTAGCAGATACAGGGTTTTGCCATGTTGGCCAGGCTGGTCTCTCGAACTCCTTAGCTCAGGTGATCTGCGCACCTCAGCCTCCCAAAATGCTGGGATTGCAGGTATGAACCACCACGCCTGGCCTAGGCTTCTGATTTGTTGTACGATGTGAAATGGCGAAGGTAAAGGCAGTGACTGTTATGACATAGTTTTCATATTTATTTATTTTATTAATTTTTTGAACCATTTTTACTTGTTTATATATCAAAAGTGAAAAAGCATACAATTCAACACAATTTCAATAGCATATGACACCACCCCCGTGGGTCCTGTGTGTGGCTGACATCCCTGTCCAGTGCAAAATCAAACAAGAAAGAAAGGAAGAAAAACCCTAAAGAAAGAGGATTTTTCAGGGGGGAACATGCTGGGCTGATTAGATTCTATTAGATCACATTCATTTCATATCTATGTACAATTCTTCCATAAACGGGTCTTTAAAATAGATATACTTAAAGATATTAGAAATGTATATTTCAAATATTTAAAATATATATTTTTAAAGAGACAGGGGTCTTGCTATGTTGCCCAGGCTGGTCTCAAACTCCTGGGCTCAAGCAATCCTCCTGCCTTGGCCTCCCAAAGTGCATACATCCATCTTTGTGCCCTACCCTCTGGCTGGTAGGTTTTCAGAAACATTATCTAAGGTAGTTGAATCTGAGCTGCCTGTCTCTCTCTCACCCACCCCCCCTCACGTGTCCACTGCTCACACACAGCAGCCGGAAATGACACATTGAAGTGAGTCACCGATGCGGCTGTGAGTCACCCTGTAATTGGGGAAAGTTCTGTCCTGGTAGGTCATGCAGCCCCTTGCATTTTTGCTCCTAAATCTATTGAACACATTGGAAACCACTCTGTCCTCACCCAAGTCTCTCTCCCCACTGTGTCCTTTTGGTCCCCTAAAGGAAGCTGAAATTGGATGGTCAATTTCCATCAAGTGGAAAAACACGAGGATAAGAGGGGCAGGAGGGTCTCAGGTGGCCACAAGGTGGCAGTGTGGGCCCCATCACGCTGGACGTCCCAAGGGGTATGTGCCAGTCAAGTGGCCAGACTTCCTGAGATATAGTGACACAGATCACAAAGTACCACTCGAGGCAAGTTTAAATACTATTCTTTTCCGTAATAGTTCTCTTTCTCTCTAACAAGCACACAAGGGCAAAGAGATAATAAATATTCAGGCACACCTCTGGCATTCCACTCTCCCCACCAAGAGATTGGGGGTGAAGAGCTGGGCACACATCTGACCTTTCTTTCTCTATTCCTATAAAATAAAATGAAGCAGAAATCCGCTTCAATGAGTAAACAAGTCACCTACACTCCAAAATAATCGATGCACACTGTTTCTGGGGAGGGAGACGGCCAGGCCAGGAGGGTCTCAGGGCTTGGGGGGCATTCACTCTGCGACCTCCAGCTTCTCTGTGCTGGGGAGGGATGGTCAGTGCCGGAATGGACTCTGAGATGAATGAGTGTTTCTTCCTTCGGCCTTTGGCCTGTCACCAGCCTCCTCCACGGTGGCAGACGGTACGAGAGTGATGGCAACAAGACTGGAACAGAAATCGTTTCTACCAAGCACACAAAAGCTCCTGTAAGCCACGTGGTTCCGTCCTGCAAAGGTCCTCGGTGGGAACCAGGTCTGTAGACCCAAGTGGGCAGAGAGACGGGCGGAAGCAGGTGCCCAGATGGTCCCGCAGGCGTCACCATTTGGTTTGGAGACCTTGAGGGAGCTGTGCTTCAAACTTCTCTCCCAGGGTCCCAGGCAGAGACTAGGGAGTTTGACCTAAAGGTCCCTCAAGGAGAGGCTGAGGTCTTGGAGACAGATCTGGTTTACCATCTTGTCACAAAAGGCAAATGTTTTGTCTTCCTCCAGAAAGAGTCATTAACACTAAAATTCTTGTCTTCGGAGTTTCTTCTTTCCCGACGCATCTCCAGTTTGTCCCAGATGAAGGCGTTTTTTCCCAGGGTCAGGGTTCCATGACTTGGCCCATGAAAAGGACTGTTCCTGAGGATGGAAGAACCGTGGGAGTTGAGAAGTGGAAGGAACGGGACAGCTCATCGGGCTGCATGTGGGTGGCAGGGCTGGTATCTGGGCAGATGAGTGAGCTGTGTGGAATCACAGCTGCCTGAGTGACAGAGCGGGGACGGTGCCCTGGCACTGTCTGTGGGTGATAGAAGGACGCCTCCTCTTGGGATGGGAAGCGGGGAAGGGGTATGGATCCCCTGCCCAGAGCCCTCTCAGAGCTAGAGTGATGTCTGCATCTGTCGGGACTAGCTCCTGAGAGAAAGAATGAGTCGGAGGATGTGGAACGTGATGGGCTCCAGGCTCACCTGTGGGGTTGTGCCGGACCACAAAGAGGAAGGGTCTGTCCATGATGATCTCCTCGGGGGCCATTCGGGCTGAGACTATGACAGCTGCAAGAGAAGGGAAAATGTCTTAAAGCAGAGGGATGCTGGCACTGGCACTCCCCCGCCCTTTTTCTTAGAGACAGGGTCTCCCTCTGTCGCTCAGGCTGGCGTGCAGTGGTGCCATCATGGCTCACCGCAGCCTCAACTCCTGGGCTCAAGTGATCCTCCCACCTCAGTCTCCCAAGTAATTGGGACTACAGGTACATGCCACCATGCCTAATATTTTTTTCTATTTTTTGTAGAAACAGGGTCTCATTAGGTGGCCCAGGCTTATCCCAAATGCCTGGGCTCAAGCGATCCTCTCACCTTGGCCTCCCAAAGTGCTGGGATTACAGGTGTGAGCCACTGAGCCCAGCTAGAAGTTGTTTTCCTGAATGTGAACCTTAACATTTAGAGATGTCCTCAAGACATGGTTTCCTCTAGGAGCTTGGTGGCAGTGGATCCGTTTTCCCCTTGCACACATTTATCTAAATCCTTTAAGGTCTTATTCGTAAGCACTTTTCTTTTTCTTTCTTTCTTTTTTCTTTTTAAATACAGAATCTTGCTCTATTGCTTAGTCTGGAGTGCAGTGGTGCAATCTTGACTCACTGCAACCTCTGCCTCCTGGATTCAAGCAATTCTCCTGCCTCAGCCTCCCGAGTAGCTGGGATTACAGGTGTGCACCACCACGCCTGGTTAATTTTTGTGTTTTTAGTAGACACAGGGTTTCACCATGTTGGCCAGGCTGGTCTCAAATTCCTCACCTCAAGTGATCCGCCTGCCTCGGCCTCCCAAGGTGCTGGTATTACAGGCGTGAGCCACCGGGCCCGGCCCGATAAGCATGTCTTAAGTTTACTCCCCACTGTGGGAACAGCGTGGGTTTTCCTTTATGAGCCTTTTCATAGTCAGGGAACTTAGGAACCATCAGGTGAGGAAACAGGGTCCTGTGGTCCCAAGCCCGTCTTCCAGGCTGAGAAACAGGTTGGAAGAGTGGGTGGAGTGGGCTGAGCACAAACAGAGCCGCTCTGTGCAGAGAGGTCTGTGCAGAAAGGGCTGTGGGGTCCTTTTTGGTTCTGGGGACCAGTTATCCTGAAGGGCGATGGAGGCACCGTGCCCGTGGGGCCTCACCTGAGCCAGACTCACCTGTGGATGAGGAGGCCACCGTGCCGCTCTCGTTCACCTCGATCTTCACTTTCTGCAGCGCCTGCGCGACGTGGAGAGGCTCTTGGTCTGAAACAGACAGTTGAATAGATCAACTGTCGCTCTCAAGGAGATGTTCCTTTTCCCTCTTAGGGCCCCTGCACTCCACTGGGATCAGAAAATGCAAAGGCAAGTCCTCTTACCTGAAAGACTTGTAAAGTCCGCCTGGAATGGTCTGAATACGTTGGTCATTCCCAAATTCTCTAGGGGCTTCCTGAGGTCGACTTCCGTCTCCAGGGAGAACCTGTGGATAACAGCAGTAGGCAGCTCAAGTTGGGGGTCCCCTCTGGCTGGTAGCCCCCTTCCCTGTCCCCTACCAGGTGTCCCCCAAATAAAGTGAACAGAATAGGAATGGAGGTGAAGGTTGGAGAGGGAAGCCTGGCTCTTTTTCTTTCTTTTTTTTTGAGACAGAGTCTTGCTCCGTCCCCCGGGCTGGAGTGCGATGGCGTCATCTCAGCTCACTGCAGCCTCCTCTTCCCAGGTTCAAGTGATTCTCCTGTTTCAGCTGTCCCAGTAGCTGGGATTATAGGTGCTCGCCACCAGGCCCAGCTAATTTTTGTACTTTTAGTAGAAACAAGGTTTCATCATATTGTCCAGCCTGGTCTCGAACTCCTGACCTCAAGCGATCGACCCGCCTCTGCCTCCCCAAACGCTGGGATTACAGGTGTGCATCACCGCGCCTGGCCGGCCCCTTGTTCTTTTTCAAAAGCTGTTTGCAAAGTTCCCCTTGCTGCTGGGATTCTAATATTCATCAACATTCTTCTGCAATCTCCCCACTCCCTCCCACCTATGACTAATTACTTTCCTCAAATAAGACAGTAGTTTCAGCATAATTTTATTCAGGCTGGCTGGGGCGGGGGAAGCCAAGGGCAAATTCTCCCGCAAGGATGCTGGAACAAAAATCTGGTCTGCAGATTGTGTTTCTGAGGACTAACCCTGAAGAGGACTCAAGCAGGGAGGCTTTGGGCACTCTCTGCTTCTCACCAGGGCACGACTAATTACCTCAATGTTTATGAGCCGGAGAGAGAAAGAGAAAAAAAAAAAAAAGAGGAAGAGAGAAAGAGGATGCAAGTGAGAGCACACACCAGCTAACCAACTAAAAATTCTCCTCTTCCCCCAAGCCTGGCATTACAGCAGCTGGAAATTTGGGATGAGCATGGTGGGAGGCTTCCCTATCATTCTGGAATTCCCCAGCTCCAGCCCTCTTCTGGGTATTGAAAAATCCCTTTGCTTCCTTCTGCAGAAGGATTTCGAAAAATCTGCTTTCTTGGAACCCCAGCTAAAAGCTGAGCTTTGAGCTGCTCCTTCCTTGAAAATGATTTCTTTTGTTTGGATGTTGACTTGAAAGGGTGGGGGATGGGAATGCTGATGGGGCCACAGTAAGTGGATGTGGACTGATTGGGCCCCCACCTCCCTCATGTCTCTGGCTCTCCTTTTGGGGGCTTTTCTGGGGTATTCTGGGGATAGTCAATGTGGGAGTGTGGTCCGGAAGAGCTGTCCCCTGCCCTCCAGCAGAAACAGCAGGAGAGATGATTGCGAGATGCATAATCAAACCCAGGCCATAGTGTTTCCCATCAGCCTCCCACACATGCAGGTCCCTGCCCTGCGAGCATCACGGGTCTAGGAAATTCAGCCTGGGGGCGGTGATTTCAGCGAGCCTGGAGGGAGGGGCGGGCGGCCGGGGGAGATGGCAGGGTGGCTTACTTGGGCAGAACGAGGAGGCGGGGCAGCCTGGTCATGTTGCCTTTCCAGTGGCTGATGAGCTGGGCACTCAGAATGTTGGTGAGGGCAGAGAGAGGCACCTCTTTTTCATAAGGAGCAGCAATGAACATGCTGAGGGTGGTCCCGTGGTAGGGCAGCTCCAGGATGTCGTAGTAATGGCCATCGGGTGTGGTGAACTCAGCTGTGGAGACAGCAAGATGGCGCGTCAGACACGGCTCCAGCTCTCGCTGACGGCAACCCAGCACTGGGTTTTCACCTTGTTCTCCTGGCCTCGCCATGCTTTCTGGAAGCCAAGCTCTCTCTCCTGCCTGGCTTTTGGGGATCCCCTGTTCACTGCTCCCCTATTCAGTATTTTAATGTCCATTTCCCTTCTCTTTAACCGATTCAGTATCTTCTAATTTCTGGGTTTCTTTTTTTGTCTTAGAGACAGGGTTTCACTGTGTCACCCAGACTGGAGTGCAGTGCAGTGGTCATAGCTTACTGCACCCTCCAACTGCTGGTTCAAACGATCCTCCCACCTCAGCTTCTTCTTTTTTTTTTGTTTGAGGCAGAGTCGCACTCTGTCACCTAGGCTGGAATGCGATGGCACGATCTAGGCTCAGTGCAACCTCCCCCTCCTAGGTTCAAGTAATTCTCCTGCCTCAGCCTCCTGAGTAGCTGGAATTACAGGCACTCATCATCATACCCAGCTATTTTTGTATTTTTATAGAGATGGGGTTTCACCATGTTGGCAAGGCTGGTCTTGAACTCCTGACCCCAGGTGATCCACCTGTTTGACTTCCGGAAGTGCTGGGATTACAGGTGTGAGCCACTGCACCTGGCCTCTCCTCAGCCTCTTGAGTAGACTACAGATGCATGTCACCAAGCCCGGCTAATTTTTAAAATATATATACATATTTAAATATATGTATCATATATATGTATCATACATATATTTACGTATAATATGTATGATACATATATATGATACATATATTTAAATATATTTTATATATATGTATAAAATATATCTATTTTGTAGGGACAGGGTCTTGCTCCCAGGATGGTCTTTAACTTCTGGCCTCAAGCAGTCCCCCTTCTTGGACTCCTAAAGTGCCAGGATCACAGGCGTGAGCCACCTCGCCAGGCCTTCTCTGTCCCTTTCAGCCTTCCTTGACTTCCATTTCCCCACACCCAGCCACCAATTCATCTCAGTCCTCATCCTTTTTCTTTTTTCCTTTGAGATGAAGTTTCACTCTCTCGCTCTCGTGAGCTACCACACCTGGAGTCCTCATCTCTTAACCTCGACTCCCCCAGTGGGATTTCTCAGCCCCAGGTAATCACATTAACAACACACTAAGATGGGACCCTGGAGTCAGGTAGACAGATGTGGCCCTGAGGGAATTTCTGGATTTCAGCTTCACCCTTCATGGGATAAAGCTCCTGTCGCTGGGAGCAGTGACTCACACCTGTAATCCCAGCACTTTTGGAGGCCAAGGTGGGCAGATCACTTGAGGTCAGGAGTTCAAGACCAGCCTGGCCAACACGGTGAAACCATCTCTACTAAAAATACAAAATTAGCCATACGTGGTGGTGCATGCCTGTAATCCCAGCTACTTGGGAGGCTCAGGCAGGAGAATAGCTTGAACCTGGGAGGCGGAGGCTACCGTAAGCTGAGATCATGCCATTGCATTCCAGCCCAGGGACAGAGCGAGACTCTGTTCCTTCTTCCCAGCTAAAAAGGCTCCTGTCTTCTGTTCCCATTATCCTAATGTCTCCTGCTTGGGAAATCTTTGTCAAAGCTGGAGTATATTCTAGGGTCTCTCCTCCCTTAGAGGGGAGCATTCCCTGTGGTCTTCCTCCCTCGGAGGGCGACAGTTTGGGTATTCCTTGGGAGACCCCGGGAATATGAGATGCACTCGCCATGGGCTGTGGGGAAGGGGCTCTTGGACTTACTATAGTTGAACTTGTTGGTCTGACTCATCATGGGCACGGAGACAGTGCTGCCGTCTGACTTGTGGAAGAGACGGTGGTGGGTGCCGGAGTCTGGGAAGGGAGTCTTCCAGTGGCCATTGAAGTAGAGGGCGTTCACCAGCACCAGCCGCGTCAGCTGGTCCACAGCCCCTTTCCCAAGCAAGTCGCCGATCATACCTATAGGAAAACCAGTGATCAGGAAGTTAGACACTTTTTTTTTTTTAGAGGGAAAAAGAGAAAAAGAAGGGGAAAAAAAGAAAAAGAGGGAAAAAGGAATATTACTTCATTCCTAAAATGGGTTTCAATAATGGCCGATCAATATTTTGAGTGTTTAAAGTGGTTAATGCATATTTTATGTGTTTAAAATGGAGACCTCTATTGTGTTTATTTGTTCTGGCTCTGAGTTCAAGTCCTGGATATCGTTATCAATTTGTTGTCTCGTTGAATCTAAATCTCATTATGGGTCTTATGTATCTGGGTGTTAAGATCTCTTATTGTTACATTAATCCTTTTACCCTTGCATCCTTGTAGCTTTGAAATCTATTTTATTAAGTGTGAGAATTACAACTCCTGCTTTTTATTTATTTATTTTTGCTCTCCATTTGGTTGGTGAGTTTTTTTCCATCCCCTTGTTTTGAGTCTTTGTATCACTTTTTTTTTTTTTTTTTAATCTACGGCCATACCACCCTGAATGAAAAATTTAAAAAAAAAAGGAACAAAATTTTTTTTTTGAGATGGAGTCTTGCTCTTGTCGCCCAGGCTAGAGTGCAATGGTGCAGTCTTGGCTCACTGCAACCTCTGCCTCCCTGGGTTCAAGCGATTCTCCTGCCTCAGCCTCCCGAGTAGCTGGGATTGCTGGCATGCGCCACCACGCCCGGCTAATTTTGTATTTTTAGTAGAAACGGTTTCACTATGTTGGCCAGGCTGGTCTCGAACTCCTGACCTCAGGTGATCCGCTTGCCTCAGCCTGGCAAAGTGCTGGGATTACAGGCATGAGCCACCTCACCTGACCTACGCTTTGGTTCTTAAAGCATCCAGCCCTCTGTCCATAGAGAAGAGAATGCTGAAAAGGAGCGTTGTTTAGGATACGTGGATTTTTGTTGTTGTTGTTGTTTTGGCTTGTTTTTTAGAGATGGGGTCTTGCTCTGCTGCCCAGGCTGGAGTGCAGTGGGGCAAACATAGCTCATGCCACCTTGAACTCCTGGACTCAAGTGATCCTCCCACCTCAGCCTCCCAAGTAGCTGGCACTACAGGTGTGCACCACCATGCCTGGCTAATTTTTAAGTCTTTTGTAGAGATGGTGTCTTGCTATGTTGGCCAGGCTGTTCCCAAACTCCAGGCCTCAAGCCGTCCTCTTGCCTAGACCTCCCAAAATGTTGGGCTGGGATTACAGGTGTGAACCACTGCACCCAACTAAGATATGTGGATTTGTTTCCAAACTCTCTTTCTCTTGAGGCCCTGGGGATGGGCTTCCTTTCCCTGCCTGCTTACCTTTTGTGTGTGTCTTCACCCAGTCATTGATGATGAATCTGGCTCTCTCCACCTCTGCAAAGTCCACCTGCTTAACCGTGGTCCGGAAGAGCCTGAAGAAGTGAGGCATGAAGCCCGGGACCAGCTTCAGGTCCCGCTGGACGAAGATGGCGTCTGTGGTGCTGATCTCATCCTTGTTCCACGGCCCCATCAGCTCCTTGTACAAATGCCGGAGGGCAGGGGCCGTGCCCTTGTCTGTGCCGGGGCAGAGAGGGAGGACATGTGAGGCTCCTGTCGAGTTGAGGGTTCCCAGCCCAGCCCACTTCCCCAACAAGAGGCCCAATCCTGATGGATGGGGGCTACCGTGCTTTCCCAGGGGTCTCTGCATCTCCTTCCTTTCTTCAACAGTCTCAGATCCCACCCTTTCTTTTTTCTTTTTTCCTTTTTTTTTTTTTTTTTAAAGATGGGGTTTCACCATGATGGCCAAGCTGGTTTTGAACTCCTGACCTCAGGTGATCCACCCACCTCGGCCTCCCAAAGTGCTAGGATTACAGGTGTGAGCCACCACGCCGGGCCTCTTTTCTTTTTTCTTTCTTTTCTTTTCTTTTTTTTGAGATGTAGTTACGCTGTTGTTACCCAGGCTGGAGGACAATGGCTGGATCTCAGCTCACCGAAACCTCTGCCTCAGCCTTCCAAAGTGCTGAGATGACAGGCGTGAGGCACTGTGCCTGGCCTTAGATTTTTTTCTGTTAGTACTGGCTATGCTAAGCATTTCACAAGTGTAATTCCACGAGTTCTTCAGGGCAGTCCTGTGTGGGAGACTTGTTTTTGTTTTTGTTTGTTCTTGTTTTGGTTTTGAGACGGAGTTTCGGAGTCTTGCTCTGTCACCCAGGCTGGAGATGCCATCTCAGCTCACTGCAACCTCTGCCTCCCAGGTTCAAGTGATTCTCCAACCTAAGCCTCCCGAGTAGCTGGGATTACAAGCGTGCGCCACCATGCCCGGCTGATTTTTGTATTTTAGTATTTTTTTTTTAGTAGAGACGGGGTTTCACCATGTTGGTCAGGCTGGTCTCGAACTTCTGACCTCAGGTGATCCACCCACCTGGGCCTCCCAAAGTACTGGGATTACAGGCATGAGCCACCATGCCCAGCCATGTGGTAGGTATTTTTTATAATCCCCATTTTGTAAATGGGCAAACTGAGGCTTAACGAGGTTAAGATCACGCAGTGGTGAATAAGCGGTAAATCCACTGACCAGACACCCTTGGCAGTTTAAGGGTCCAATGACTTAGAGTGTGGTGGGAAGATGGGGGGACCCTGTAGCACAGCTGCACAGTGCTTGGCTCAGCTCAGCAAGGGCCAGCCTTTCCTCGACTTCTGGCTGGTCTGTTCTGTGGAGACTGCATGCCTCTCCCCGCCCCCATGTCCTGTCACTCACCATCAATCTTGAATCTCATGGTTGCCCCCCCTCCTCCACAGTGTCCCATCACTCACCATCAATCTTGAATCCCATGGCCGCTTGGATCTGCCTCCGGGTTTCTCCTCCCGTGGTCGACTGCAGCATGGCCAACACCGAGGCCACCCCATAGGGTGAGAAAACCACGTTTCGGTCCTTGGAGGCCTGCGACACCTGCTGAAACACCCTCACCCCGAAGTCTGAGGCCAGGTGGGCCACGTGGGATGGGGGATGGTGAACGGTGGACCCTTCACCAAAGAGGAGGGCCAGGCCCAGGACCAGGCAGGCGAGAGCTGGAGACGTCTGCATCCTAGAGCAAGGGAAAGAGGGCTGGTGAAGGGGTCGCTCTGGAAGACGGGTGGGAGGGGAGGGGAGCTGGTGCCCCAGCTGTGGACTCGACTCTTCTTCTTTGCTGCAAATAGGTGATAGGTAAACACCAGGGCACGGTGCAGGAAGAGGCCACGTTCAGATTCTGAGCCCGTCCCGCTCTGTCTCACTCAGATGGACTCACCCGCAGGCAGTCACAGGGAGGCTTCTCCCATCTTGCCCTGTGGGAATCTTGGAATCTAGTCCATTTGCCTTCCCTCTGTGTCCCGTAAAAAAGCCTCAGAAAAAGGCAGGTGAGAGGTCATTACCACGCTCTGCCCTTGCAGCCCGGGGGCGTTTAGCTCAGCCTCCATTATCAATGATCGCAACATCTTTGATTTGCATGAGATTTTAAATTTTCTTTCCTTTTTTCTTCCTTTCTCTTTCCTCTTTCTCTCGCTTTATCTCTCTTTTTCTTTTCTTTCTTTTTCTCTTCCTTTCCTTTCCTCTCCCTTTCTCTCTCTCTCTTTCTTTCTTTCTTTCTTTCTTTCTTTCACTTTTTGAGACAGGGTCTTGCTCTGTCACCCATGCTGGAATTCAGTGGCTCAATATTGGCTCACTGCAGCCTCCACCTCCCTGGCTCAAGCAGTCCTCCCACCTCAGTCTCCCAAGTAGCTGGGGATACAGGCATACCAGCACACCCAGTTAATTTTTGTATTTTTGTGGGAGAGACAGGGTTTTGCCATGTTGCCCTGGCTGGTCTCAGACTCCCGGGCTCAAGCGATCTGCCTGCCTCAGCCTTGCAGAGTGCTGAGATTACAGGCGTGAGCCACAGCGCCTGGCCTTAATTCTCTTATGATGCTTTCCCAGCGATTGTTTCATTCGTTAGCAGGCGTGAGGTGGGAAATCGGGGAGGTCTTGAGGCAGAGGGACCGAGGGAGTCAAGGTTCTTGTTTCTCGGTAATGGGGTTGTTGGTGGGACCTGACCATCCTCCCTGCATGCCTGCACTCACCCCTAGGGCAGGGTCAGCTCAAGGCTAAGGAAAAGAAAATAGAGGAATTGGCTGGGTGCGCTGGCTCATCCCTGTAATCCCAGAACTTTGGGAGGCCTAGATGGGCGGATCACAAGGTCAAGAGTTTGAAACCAGCCTGGCATGGTGAAACCCTGTCTCTGCTGAAAATACAAAAACTGGCCAGGCATGGTGGCACACACCTGGAGTCTCAGCTACTCGGGAGGCTGAGGCAGGAGAATCGCTTGAACCCAGGAGGCGGAGGCTGTAGTGAGCTAAGATCGTGCCACTCCACTCCAGCCTGGGCAACAGAGTGAGACTCCGTCTCAAAAAGAAAAAGAAAATAGAGGGATAGCGGGGGATCGTGGAGGGAGGGGATTCTGGGGAGGTGAGTTCTCTGCCTCAAGCCCAAAGTAAGAGGATGGAGGGAGTTTGCTTTTCTCCTACCTGAAGTTCTCAGAGGTGCCTTGCGATTGGTGGTTCGTCCTGCTCCGCTGTGGCTGCTGAGCTGCAGGAATTCAGCAGCTGGAGGGGGGCGTGTGGCTCTTCTTGACAGCGCTCTTGGCCCTGCAGCCAGACACAGCTGTGCTCCTCTGTGAGCCTCTGCCTCCTTTTATACCAGATGTGGGCAGGAAACAGATGAACTCATGTTCCAGCCCCACCCACTCGCTGGCTCTGGGAGTCCGTCTGAACAGCTAGCCAGGCCCCCTCGACACCTCCCTCTCCAGGACTTGCTGAGGCATGTGTGTGTGTGTGTGCGTGCCACTGTGTGTGTGTACGTGTGCAGGGGGTTCAGGAACGGCTGAGCAAACCCCAATAGCCTTGGCCTGGGGATCTCCCTTGAGCTTTCTGCCCTCTGCCTGTGTCTGTCTCTCCCGGATGTCCTGCCAGGTTGACCGTCTGCCATGCCAGATAACCCAAAGAGCCCAGGACTCTAGCCTTCAGTTTGGAGACAAACCAGCTCATGTTGTCTGGCTTTCCTTTGGAGAACCAGGTCACTGTGGAGTTATCAAAGATAACCTCCACTGAAAGCTGGATGTTTTTCCATCAGGACCGTCTACCCCGTGCCCTGGGACACCTCCAGGAAAGAGCACCCCTCCCTCCTCCTGGACCCAGCCCGGCGGCCACGGCATGCAACCAGCCACGTGACTGTCTAGGTTTTGTCTGTCTAGCCCTTGGGCCCAACAGAGGACTCTTGGTCTTTCCCTCATCCCCGACATGTGCCCGGCCACCTCCGATGATACACTGCTGACTCCCACAAGTGTCCAGACTCTCCCCATGCCCCTGAGGGCTCTCTTTTGTCAACAACCTTGTCTGGCTGGGGTTTGAGCTGTGCTGGGCGGGGCGGTGGTGGCTGAAAGGGACCAGGGGTTACCATGGTAAAGGCTTGGTAAAGAAACAGGAGACCAACGTGTAAGTTTCATTTCTTGGAGCTGCCCGCTTGGTCTTGGGGGCAGCTTGTCCTTTATCTTCTTCCTCCAGACACAGACACATGGGGAAGAGGAATAGAAGCAGAGTGTCAATTCATGGCGGGTTTGCAGGGTGTGCTTTTAGGGCTGGGGGGTGAGGGGAGGAAGAGTGACTGATAGATTCTGTAGAGCAGTGGTCTTCAACATTTTTGGCACTAGGGACTGGTTTCGTAGAAGGCAATTTTTTCACAGACCAGGGTGGGATGGTTTCAGGATGATTCAAGTGCATTACACTCACTGTGCACTTTATTTCTATTATTATGACATTGTAGCATATAATATAAATAATTCCACAACTCACCATCATGTAGAATCAGCAGGAGCCCTGAGCTTGTGTTTCTGAACTGGATGGTCCCCTCTGGGGGTGATGGGAGACAGTGACAGATCATTAGGCTTTAGATTCTCATAGGAGCGGCCAACCTGGATCCCATGAATTCACAGTTCACGATAGGATTTGTGCTCCTATGAGAATCTAATGCCACTGCTGATCTGACCAGAGGTGGAGCTCAGGCGGTAATGTGAGCAATGCGGAGCTGTAGCATGGCACGGTGCCTCACGCCTGTAATCCCAGCACTTTGGGAGGCTGAGGCAGGCAGATCACCTGAGGTTGGGAGTTCGAGACTAGCCTGACCAACATGGAGAAACTCCGTCTCTACTAAAAATACAAAACATTAGCCGAGTGTGGTGGCACATACCTGTACTCCCAGCCACTCGGGAGGCTGAGGCAGGTGAATCACTGGTACCTGGGAGGCGGGGGTTGCAGTGAGCCGAGATCACGCCGTTGCACTCCAGCCTGGGCAACAAGAGCAAAACTCCATCTCAAAATAATAATAACAATAGTAATGGGGAGCGGCTGTCAATACGGATGAAATTTCACTTACCTGCCGCCCACCTCCTGCTAGGCAACCTGGTTCCTAACAGGCCATGGACTGGACCCTGACCCAGAGGCCGGGGACTCCGGCTATAGAGGGTGGAAACTGAGCATGTAGGACCAGACTAGTGGATTTGAGTTTTGTTTGTTTGTTTGTTTGTTTTTGAGACGGAGTCTCTCTCTGTCGCCCATGCTGGAGTGCGGTGGCGTGATCTCCGCTCACTGCAACCTCTGCCTCTCAGGTTCAAGCGATTCTCCTGCCTCAGCCTCCTGAGTAGCCGGGACTACAGGTGCCTACCACCATGCCTGGCTGATTTTTTTGTAATTTTAGTAGAAGTGGGGTTTCACTGTGTTAGCTAGGATGGTCATGATCTCCTGACTTTGTGATCTGCCCGCCTAGGCCTCCCAAAGTGCTGGGATTACAGGTGTGAGCTACCACGCCCGGCCAGATTTGGGATTTTGACAGGGTCAGGCGCCCTCGGCCGTGTGGACAGAAGGGTGGCCAGTGTGCTGCCAAGGGGGCGTCTCGTATCAGAGACATGGCATACTTGGGGTCCACGAACTGTCGGGTTTTGTGTAGGTGGTGGGGCTTAATTAGGAGAATCCATGGAGACAGCAGATAACAGAGTCACAGGAAGTTTCAGTGGGTGGAAGCGTGGGGATGTTTGTTTTGGATTTTGTCAGTAAACAGATACCAAGGGCAACCACAGCTGAGCAGCCCTCCTGCTTTTCATTCTGCCTTAGGCTTTGTTTTCTCACAAGTGGCAGGGAGAACGCAGAACCTCCTCGGAAAGTTGGGCTCACGGACACATCAGAACTCTTCCTGTGAAACTGCCTCTCGTTTATGTCTTCTTTCTTTCCTCAGTTGTGGTCTGGAGTCCCTGAGAGTGTGGTTAGCGGTGAGGAAGAAGTGACCGCCCTGACCTCTTAGATGAAGACAAGTCAAGCCCCAAACCCATCTTTTTTTTTTTTTTTTTTTTTTGAGATAGGGTCTCGTTCTGTCACCAAGGCTGGAGTGCAGTGGGATTATCATAGCTCACTGCAGACTTGAACTCCTGGGCTCAAGCAAGTGGCTGGGACTGCAGGCTAGCGCCACCACACCCAGCTATTTATTATTAGCTCTTATAGAGACAGAGTCTTGCTGTGTGGACCAAGCTGGTCTCAAACTCCTGGGTTCAAACAATCCTCCCACCTTTGCCTCCCAAAGTGTATAAGCCCCCATGCCCAGTCCCAGAGTTATCTCTTGTCCTCAAAAGTATACCCAAACCTGGGCCATGGTCGCTCTCGCCTGTAATCCTAGCACTTTGGGAGGCCAAGGCGGGTAAATCACTTGAGGTCAGGAGTTCAAGACCAGCCCAGCCAATACAGTGAAACCATATCTCTACTGAAAATACAAAAATTAGCCAGGCATGGTGTTGTGTACCTATAATGCCAGCTACTTGGGAGGCTGCGGCAGGAAACTCGCTTGAACCCGGGACATGGAGGTTGCAGTGAGCCGAGATCACACCACTGCACTCCAGCCTGGGCGACAGTGAGATTGCCTCAAAAAAAAAAAAAAAAAAACAGCCTTGGCCGTGGCCCCTGCCTCTACTTCACGCACATGGCCCTGCCTTCTCTTGCCTGCCTTAGGAGCCGAGCCCTTCCACACCAGGGTGCAGCTGCCTGAGGGCTGCTCCCCACCCGACCTCCCAGAGAAACCCACTTTTCAGAATCTGACTCAAGGGGTTATCACTTTTCCCTTTTCCCCTGGAACCCAAGTCCTCTCTTTCTTCATCCAATCCTCTCTTTCCAGCTCAGGCTCTTTTGTAAGGGGTCACACAGGCGCAGAGAGAAAAGTCCGTGCTGTTGAAATAGCCAGATCCCCAGCTTCCGGAGGGTCAGAGATAAGAGAGTGAGTTACTGCGACGTGAATTTCAGGGGAAAGTTCTGGCTCCAGCCTACTGGGAAAGATATGTCCATCTGCCCCTGAGCAGGTGGTTCGTGACTGTAGACCACACTCAGATTTTCCATGACTGTCCCTCCGTCCCCCACCCACTGGTGGGCCCTGGGTGGACTCTGGCCTTCCCGCCACCCATCACCCTCTGACCTCCTGCCCTCTGGCCCCATCTCTGCTCTTCCTCTTTGCTTCTGTTTTCTCCACTTTCTCTCTTTTTCACTTTCCCTTTCTCCCTCTGAGCCTCCCGTTTCTACGCCCTTCTCTCTGACCTTTCACCTACCCTTTCTTCCCCAGCGTCCCCTCTCCTCGGCTGCAGGAGGCTGTCCCCCATTTCCACTTGCCCTCTTTTCTGCTGTCTCTGACTCAGTCCCTCTTTCCCTCTAGGATCCCAGAGTCTCTTTTACAGTCAAATGCTCAGCTCCGGAGCCCTTCCGGTGGGGAAGAGAGCGCTGCTCCCTGTTACACAGGCTCCCTGGAATGCGACGCCCAGCCTCCCTGATTCCTGGTGATTTCACTGGGAGAGCCGGGGGTGGGAGAACGCAGGGTCTTGCTCACGGCACTATTTCTGGCTTGGTTGCTCTCCAGACAACACAGCTCCAAAAATAGCCTGTGTTTGGGTTCTGCTCTCTGCCCTTCTCTAGGAGGGAATCCGTCCTGGGTGTCTCTGCTGACTTTAAGATCGTGGTCCTGGGACAGCCTGTCCAGGGGCCCTGCCTCACACTGCCTCTGTGCCTGAGGTCCCCCTCCTCCCCCGCTGTGTCCCCTCTCCCCTGCCAGCCCCTTGGCCCGCCAGCCAGGAGGCCGGCTATCTCTTTCTCTCTCTCTCTTTTTTTTTTGAGATGGAGTTTCTCTCTTGTTGCCCAGGCTGGAGTGCAATGGTGCGATCTCCGCTCACTGCAACCTCTGCCTCTGATGTTCAAGCGATTCCCCTGCCTAAGACTCCTGAGTAGCTGGGATTACAGGCCTGTGTCACCACATCTGGCTAATTTTGTATTTTTAGTAGACATAGGGTTTCGCCATGTTGGACAGGCTGGTCTCAAACTCCTGGTCTCAGGAGATCTGCCTGCCTCGGCCTCCAAAAGTTCTGGGATTACAGGTGTGAGTCACCTCACCCGGCCTGGCCATCTCTCCTTAAACTCCCCAACACTCTCACTGGTCCTGCCTCACCCAATGTAGCCCTTGCTTGTCCACAATTGCATTTTTTTTTAGAGTAGGGGCCATGCTCTGTTGCCCAGGTGGGATGCAGAGGCACAATCATGGCTCACTGCAGCCTCGACCTCGCAGGCTCAAGTGATCCTCCCACCTCAGACTCCTGATGAGTTGCTGGTTGGGA